TCCCTCTCCTTGCTGGCCACCTCCCTTTTCATGCAGCCCAAGATGCAGTTGGCCTTCCAGGCTGCAAGCATACACTGCTGGTCGGCTTTTCATCTATGAGGACCCCCCAGTCCTTCTTCACTGCTCACATGGAGTTCTTCTTCAAGTCTGTACACATCAAGGGTTGCTCCAACCCCAGTTTAGAGATAAGGATGTCAAAAGCCCTGCAGAAGACCAGCTAGATGATGTCAGTTGCACTTCCTTTGTCCATCAGTGCATTCATTCCATTGTAGGAGGCAACCATTTTGGTCAGGAACAACACGTTGCCTTGCTTAAGTTGGTCAGGCTGTCATGAATCATCTCATTGTCTTGCATGTGCCTTAACATATCTTCCAGCAGGATCTGCTCCATGACTTTCCCAGCCACAGGCATGAGGATCACCAGCCTGTAGTTCCTTGGGTCTTCCTTTCTCCCTTTCTTTAAAAATGGGAGTGATGATTCCCTTTTTCCAGACCCCAATTTGCCTGACAGTCATGATTTTTTGAATACAATGGAGAATGGCTCGACAGCTACATCAGCCTGTTCCTTCAGGAACCTGGGATGCATGTCATTGGACCACACAGACTTGTACACATTCATCTTCAACATGTGACCTTAAACCTGCTCTTCACTTTCAGTGGGAGAGCTCATCCAGCCCCTGCTTAGAGGTTCAGGGACATGAGAGGCATGCCAGTGAAAACTGAGGCAAGGAATTTCTTGAATACCTCTGCCTTTTCCATATCTGTCCTTGCCAGTTCTCCCTTCTCAGTTTTCAGGGGGGGCACATACTCCTTAGCCTTTTTCTTCTGTCTCATGTATCTATAAAATCCATTTTCTTGGTTTTTTCACATCCTTTTCCAGGTTCAATTGCATCTGGACAGCATCCTTCAACTCTTCCCAGGCCACATGTCCCTGCTTCTACTGCCTGTACATTTTTATCTCTTAGCTTGAATCCACCGGCAGGTTTCCACTCAGCCATTCTAGCTTCCTGCCTCCCCTCGTTGATTTCATGCGTTGGGGTTTGGAATTATAAAGCAATTATTGATTCATTAGCTGCACAAAATATAGCTAGGTTTTAATAAGCAACTCAGACAATCACTATGCTCACCATGCACAGAATGGTGAGGTGGGCATCAGTCAAGAAAGAGCCTCTGAGGATCCCTGGACACATCCTTTGTGTTCTTGAGTTGCTGTCGTTTCCTACGTTTGTCAAAACAAATAGCTCTGCTGAATCAATTTATTACCTCTATAACAGGATATAAAATCTAAGCTGATTTTTGTGTGATGTCTTTCAGCAGCAGAAGCAGTTTAGAGTGATCTCAAGAGGAGGCAAGGGGAGCAGCAGGGGAGGTGATGTGATGTACAGTTTTGCATAGATGACTATGGCAAAGGTCTGTGTCATGCCTGATGTTTCCTTTTCCTGGGACAGGCATTTAGCAGAAGACTCTGCCCACAGTGCCAAAGCCACTGGCAGTCCTGTAGATCAATGGTTTCATCCTTTCTAGGATGGGATGTTTCTGCAGTTCCAACAGGACAAGTAAGAGAGGAGAGGGAAACATGATACAAACAAGTTTATGCTAGGGATTCAGTAGTGCCAGTAATCCAGTATCTTCTGTGCCAGAGAGAAACAGAAAAGGCTTCTCCAAGTGCCTTTAATTCATGCATTAGCTTGCAAGCCTGCAGCCACACAACGGCTTAAGTGTGGGACACACAAGAGGTAAACTCAGAGCTCTCACTGAAGAAAACATATCCACAGAGGCAGCTCAATGTGTGACAGTCTGCTTCCGAGTAGCTCTCATCTTTCCTGATGCTTCTTCACTAGTTTCTTTGCATCTCTGGAGCAGGAGTGGGAAAGAAAGACAGTACAAAAGTAGCTTGATGTTAGCAGACTGGTAATTTTTTCTAAAGTGATTAAGGTGGCTTTACTGCCTGTTTAACCAGTAAGTATTGCCAAAATAGTATAATTAAGGATCAGCATGATCCAGAAAGCCCAGGCTACTGAAGGACTGTGGTTTACCTTGTGATTTTGGAGACCAGACATTTTTGGACCTGATAAAATGAAAACCATAGCCAATAGATTTTCTTTAGAAAATTTACTAGGCCACCACATCATCTTGCATCTTGGTGAAGTTCTCTGTCTGTCTTTTCTTACTGAACAATGGTCACGAGTGTTAACTACTTCATCCCACTGGTGACTTCTGCAGTGAACCTTGAGGTTTGATCACTACAGCTCAGTCAAAGGATTTTCTGCACAGTTTCACAGCAGCTTTGCTAATGCTAGAACATCTCTCTTTCCATCAGAGATTTCCATATCTTCCTTGTAATGCAGCTAATTGCTCTGGTCTCTGCATGAGCTCTGTGTTTGATATTTCTTCTTGGCTTTGGAAGAGCAGGAGAAATAAAAACAAGCATAAAATAATCTCAAAATAAATTATAGAATCATAGAATCACCAAGGTTGGAAAAGACATCCAAGATCATCTAGTTCAAATATTCACCTACCACTAGTATTGTTTCCCTACTTAAACCCTCGGTACCACATCTAAATGCTTCTTGAACACCTCCAGGGATGGTGACTTAACCACCCCTGTGGGCAGGCAGCCCATTCCAGTGCCTGACCACTCTTCCACAGAAGAAATTTTTCCTAATATCCAAACTGAACCTGCCTGGGCACAATTTGAAGAAGAGTTGTGTCTCAGGAGCCCCAAGCATTCTTTACATTTAAAACATCCTTCTTAATGAGCTTAATCTCCTTTTATGACAAAGTTACTTGCTCAATTGACCAGGGAAAGCCAGATGATATAAACTCTCTGGATTTTGGCAAAGCTTTTGTTACTGCTTATTTCACTACTCCTCTAAGAAAATTGCTCAATGTAAAGGTAGACAAAAAGGAATGGGTGAATGATTGGTTGGCAGTTTGGGCTCAAAGAATTGTAGTAAATGCAATTACATCAATCTGGCTACCAGTCAATAGTGGGGGTCTGCAGAACTCAATTTTAGGGCAAGTTCTCTTTAGTCCAATGACTTGGATATGGGACTGTAAGGTATAGTAAGGAAGTTTAGAGATGACATTAACTCTCTTGAGGGTTGAGAGGCCTTGCAGAGAGATTTTGGCAAATTAGAGGGCTGGGCAATCACCAGCTATGTAAGTTTTAAGTAGAGCAAGTGTCAGATTCTGCACCTGGATTGCAGAAACCCTGGACTTATGTGCAGACTTGTAAATGAGAGTTCAGAGAGCAGTCCCCCAGAAAGGGATCATAGTGTTCTGTCTGACAGTGAGTTGAACATGAGGCAGCAGTGTTCCTTGGAGCCCAAAGGGCAACCATACCCTGGGTTGCAGCAGGCCCAGCGTGGCCACTGGGAGAGGGGAGCACTGTGCGGCCTCACCTACAGCACTGCGTGCAGGATGGGTACTGCAGTACAAGAACATAAAGCTATTAAAGAGCATCCAAAGAAGGGCTGTGAAGATGGTGAACAGTCTGGAGAAGAAGATGCATGAGGAGCCGCTGATGTCTCTTGGTGTGCTCAACGCAGAGCAGAGGAGCTGAGGGGAGCCTCATGGCGGCTGCAGCTCCTCACAGGGAGCGGAGGGCAGCGCTTAGCTCTGCTCTGTGTGACAGCGACAGGGCCCGAGGGAACGGCATGGAGCTGCATGAGGGGAGGGCAGCTGGGGGTCAGGGAAAGGGGCTGCAGCACTGGGAGGTGGGCATGGAACAGACTGCCCAAATAGGCACAGCCCCAAGCTCAGGGAGTTGAAGGAGTGCTTGGATGCCACTCTCAGACATAGGGTTTAGATTTTGGGTGGTTCTGTGTGGAGTCAGGAGCTGGACTCTGTGATTCTTGCGGTTTCCTTCCAACTCAGCATACTCTATGATCCCTAACTGTAGAAAGGGGAGGCAAGTTAACGCACTGTAGGTTGTGACAGCCTGGGAGAGCACACATTGAAAGTATTGGAATCACCTGGGTCAGGCCATAGCTGTTCCTTCCAACGCATGCCCAAGAGAGCTGATTTGAAGCAGAGGGGGAAAATGCTACTTTCTGGTATACCTTTTGGCCAGGAATATGGTTTCCTCGGAAAATGGCTGCATCAGGCAGACTTACTACAGCCTCACACCCTAGCTTCAGGATCCAGCTGAGCCCAAGCTGGAAATAACTGGGTATACGGTGGGCCAACAATACTGAGTACCTCATTCTCAGCTCTTGGCAAGTATCAAGTACATAGCTGTGGTGGTATCTGGAGCTGTGCAAAGCACAGGTGTGGATCTGAGTAAGGAACTGCTTCTCCGTATCTGCTATGGTGATGATACCACAGGATCCTGTACCTGCAGGCTGGCTGCAGCAAAGTGGGCAAACTGTAGCCCCCTAACGAGGCTTCTTCATTTCTGTCATGAGTCAGAGCTGGTTCCCTGTAGCATCTACACGCTGGCGTCTGAACATACAGATCCACTGCTCTGCACGGGTATCTCTTGAGCTCCCTTTCAGATGTCTGTGTCTTGGTGTCATGTGTTAGCATTTCCACAAGCCCAGTCCTTCCAATTCAGCCTGAGCTAAGCAGTAGACTGCCAAGACTCCAAAGAAAGAGCACTTCTCCTGTTTTGCAGAGGCAGTAAATATGATATAAACTCACTCAAATTACCATATGTTGTATTGTACTAGAAATATCTTGTTTTGCCCAGTTAGACAAAAGAAAAATTTTATGTATTTGGTAAGCAATCCAATGGTCTCCAGCAAAATAACAGTCATTGCCTGTTTTCTTCTGATGTTGATCAGTTATGAAAATTTCAGGAGGTCTGTAGTTTCAAAAGGTAGAAAAGAGCCATTATTGTCTCAGTTATGTAATGCAGTTAAATAATTTTGCACTGAGCTCACAATCTACTCCAAAAACTTTGTGTTTATTTAACCCAAGAAGTGGGTTTTCAAAGGAAGTCTTCCACCTGTAATCCATGAGTCTAATTTCTTGTTCTCTTTCTTTTCCTTGTCAAAGGATGAGAAGAATCAGGTGTTGATTACAAATGCTTGGCTGCAGATGGTGAGTAACCTGTAAGAATAAAGATTAAAAAAACCTTCCTAATAGCGAACTACCGAATGTGATTTCTTAGCTGGAAAGCAAGGTTGCTGCCTTTTAACTTGTCTCTGACATTTTTCTAGTGCTCCTTTTAGCAGTGAAAACAACAGGAGACTTCATTCACCCTCTGAGCAGACCTTAGGAAGTAATACTAACCACACTGTTAGGCCGATGGGCATAGGGATCTTGTAACAGACAGCTCAAAGCAAGGCTCCCATTATAGCTGGAGGCTCTTCAAGAGGTTCAGGGCCCCTCCAACAGTAGAGCTGGGCTCTTGTAGTGAAGGAGCCAGGCACCTCATTAGACCTGGCTGTCCTGCTCTCATAGCTTCTGAGATGTCTATAATTGGGAGCTGGGGTATCCCTTGAAAATGCAGGACACTCTATCATGCACCCCAAATGCAGAGAACTGCATTCAGCTGTGCAGTGGTTTGCCATCTACAGTGCCCAAGCTCCTTGGTGGGACAGCTTCCTTGGAACACTGCCTTCCCTTCTACTTTAAAAATCTCATGCATAAACACACCTCCTCCCTCTCCTGCAACTTGCTCCTACTGAAGAGTGACCAGAACTGGTCATGCAGGGTAAGCAAAGCTGATCTTCACTTAGGGCTTTGGTGGAGGGAACTTCCTACCAAATTTGCTGCTGGCCGTGTGGTGAGAGATATGATCTATTTTTATGGAGCATAAACTGATCTCCTTAATGGCTTGCGCTCAGCAAAGATGCAGCTCTGCAGGGAAAAACCTGTGGGAGACTTGAATGATTGAGCTAATTCTGCTTTGACTTGAGCAGTTAAATACTATGTCAAGTTAATGGGTGCAACTGAATAGGTTGTTTATTTCACAGATGTCTGTTGGGATTTGAAGCAGGAATGAGTTTTTTCTATTGCAAAAACTAAACCAAACCAACATAGGGTATTATGGTATCATCACAGCAGAACCTGCATGTATCTTGTTCTTAGCAGAGAGTGTCTTCAGCTATAGCACCAGTAACACTCTTGCAATCCTACCATAGCATTTTTCTGTAAGTCACTTTCAGCACAAAAGTTGTTCCTGAGCCTTTCTTAAATTATTTGAGATGTCTGGCTTCATGTCTCAGAGTGGAGTGGCAAGGCACTACATTAAATACAGCAGCTAACAACACTGAGTCATCAACCTGCAAATTCCTCTCTCTGTATGCCAACCGTTCTTAATAATTAAAGCCTAGCATTAAACAATTATCATACTACTGCTATCACTACTGATAATATCCATTCTGCTCCCATAATATTCCAAATTGCTTAAAAGATCTCTACCAGCTTGTATAATCTGATGTATGTATTTTCCAACAGTACTGGGTTGATATTTACTTGTCTTGGGATCAGTACGAATACCCGGGTGTGCAGAACTTGCGATTTCCAGCCGACCAGATTTGGGTACCTGACATTCTTCTCTATAACAGGTAAGCAATATGCACAATTGGCAGTTGGAGCCTAAAACTAGAGCACTAGATGCTGATAAACAACCACGCTGCTCTGATATTCTAAGGTTTTGTCCGCTACTCTTGGAAAAAATATAAAAGCAAACAAATGCAAGTTAATAGATTTTCTAGTAGTCACTTTAAGTCATGCTTTCTGTAGTTTTATAGACGTCTTCTTTCTCTTTTCCCAGTGAATGTGAAAACAACCATATTCTCCTTATAATTACCATACCTCTGCTGGAAAATTGCTTGTGCCATAGTCTTCCTGCTTGAAATAAATAATCTGTTTCTTTGTGTATTCTCCATTACCCCACCTTTTCATCATTCCTTAGCTCCCCAAAACCTCTAGAACCCATTTTTTTCTTCTCCATTATGGAGTCCAGCACTCTAGTTAGCACTTTTGCACTGTTGAATTGAGTGGAAGTTCTGTATACAGACTATTTTTTATTGCTTTCTGGGAGGAAGGGGTTCTACTTTTGCTCAAATGTCTTATTTTTGGGCTTGTTTTGTCCTTTGTCCTTGCAAGATTTTCACTGACCTGTCCTTCTCAGTCAGTTTTAAACATAATCTAGTTGTCTGGGTTGGGTTTCCTTCTGGTTTCTGCTGTTTTCCCTTCCAAGCACCCACTATAAGATACCTTTATATCTATACCCACTATAAGAAACCTAAGGAGGTTTGAAGTGCCCTGAAAATTGTTCAGGTGCTATTCTTTACTGCAACTTTACTGCTTACAGTTTCTTTATTAATTTTCAGTCTCCAAAAATGATGCATATTATCTGGTCTATATTATTTCAGTTTGTTTATAAGAATATGTCACAGGAAGGGCTTTCTGAGGTTCAGATATGTCTTCTACTTCCTCTTATTGAATTATTCAGTAAGAAAATTAGATTGATTTCATGCAGTTGGCCCTTGACAAATCCGTGTCAGCTGTTTTTACTTCATTATCTTTGAAGCTAGGATGATGTATCTATAATTTCACCTTTTTACAAAAAAAGAAAAAACAAATCAGAATTCTCTTTGAACTTGTCTAATTCACTGAGCCCTGTCCTGCAGTCCCCAAACTCCCACAAATAATTGTTAATGCTTCAGAGAGTATTTTGGTCACCTTCAGTACTCAGGAGTAAATTTCATCAGTGCTGCCAACTGGAGCCTGTCTTTTTCTACACTTCTTTAATGCTTTCCTTTCTTCTCCTGCCTTGGACTCTGACCACTGTGTGAGAGTTAGTTGTGGTGAGCCACAGTTCCTGAAGAGTGAAGCGCAGAAGGTACAGGATATTGCAGCTCCCTGTACCCTGTTGTTTCCTTTCCTTTCACAGCAAGCAGCGAGTCTACCTCACCCTTTGTCTTTCCCTTGTTTTCTTTTTTCTATTAAGACAGCCTTTCTTGTGGCCTTTTGTGTTATGGCCGTAGTCTTTTCACTTTTATCCCCATTGATTTTTGTTGATATTTATGTTCCTCCTGAGTCAGTCATTCCTGCTCCCATGTTTCCAATGTTCAGTCCTTGATTTTCAAGCCCTGATGTAGAGGATCCTGATGCAGAGGACATTGTTCTTCACCCTTTGACATGAGAGCAGGTTGCGGGTGTGTGGTGGTCTTCTCCAGCATTTGTTTTCCCCCCCTTATATCAGGAGCACCCATGACAGAAAATTACTTTCAGCTTTCTGACACTGCGTCCACCTTCCTCAGACATGAACAAGGAAGAAGCCAAAGGATGAATGGAGATTGGAATTTTCCATGATTGGTGGCAAGACAGGGTGTGTGAGATGGGAGAGCCATGCAACATGGACCTGCACATAGTCGTGATAGGCAAGAAACCAACATGGGAATCCTTCTGTATTTAAACTGGAACACTCCCCCATGCCTGCTTCATGCCCCCACATGATCTCAGTTTGGGGGATTTTATCTTCAAAAGGTACAACCTGAGCACTTACAGCAAACACAAACAGTATTCTTGCTCAGGTTATTATTTCCTTCTTTTTCTCAGAACCACTGGAACCCTAAATGAATTCTTGTTTCTCTGCAGCACCTCCATTGCCTGAAGCAAACTTTTGGCCCCTAAGCATCCTAAGAGACAGAATGATTATTACCTCAGGGCACCATTGCTCTTACAACAGATATTTAGGTAAAAAATTGAGTTACACTGTGAGCTGCCTGATTTTGACAGCAGCCCTAGATAAGCCTCATCCTGCCAACTATTCAGACTTTGAAACTTCCTTAAAACTTCAAAAACTGTAATACTTCTGCTCCTTTTCTGCTCCTTTCCATTCAGCCTTTGCACCAAGACATCTAACAGCCCCGCATCTTGCTTCTCTGAGGACATTACAGCAAGCCGTTGGCACTTCTGGGTTGCAGGCCAGTAGTGTCTATTAGAAAAAAAGGTACTGGGCTCTTCACCTGGGCATAAGCCAGACCTTGATTCAGACATCACAAAAGAGGATTTTTTGGTTTTTTTTTCTGTTGAAAGTTGCTACATCTTAAACATCAGCTTGCTTTTTATTTCCTCTGTTTTGTTTGTGCTGTGCTCTAGTGCGGATGAAAGATTCGATGCAACATTTCATACAAATGTGCTGGTGAATTACTCTGGATCCTGCCAATATATTCCTCCAGGTAGGATGCAGACTGTGTTTGTTTGCTCAATGTATATCTTTAAAGAACTGTAAGCAGTTTTCATTCATAGATGAAATCAAATATTTAGAAGCAGTCCACAGCAATTTTGCAGGATATATAACTTTATTGTGAGACAGATCCACTAAGTAATATAGCTCCATGACTGATGGCATATTTCCACTTCATGAATCTGCTGAGTAGTTTGATCACTCAGAGGTCCACCTGAGTTATCTAGGCAAGGTATTGGGTACCTCACATCGTGTTTTCACAAAGTTTCTTATGCAAACCAATTAGTTCATTCTTGAGACTGAAGGGAAGTATGACAACAGGAGGTAACCAGGAGCAGCAGTCTCTCTGCAGCGCACTTTATGAGCCTGAACCTCCATCTCCATGAGTTCATCAAGAAAAGATGAACTGAGACCAGCCCTGTTGAGCCAGACCCAATCCACATTCTGCTTTCCATCTGTACTGCTGATTCAGTGTCCATAGGGCCATCTATACTGCTGATTCAGTGTCCAAGCAGCCAGGACCTACAGCAAACACACAAGCTATCCCCTTCATTACAGCCTCTGATGGAAAAGAAATGTGCAGTCTTTGTGCCATACGCTGGAATATTAACGCCAAGCACAACCATAGGAGCCACCAAGATAAAAGTGGGTATTCCCTGATAGTTGATCTTCTGTTGATCCCTACCTTTGAGACCTTTTAAGGCATTTTTGTTTTTTTCATGGACAGACCATGGGAATGTTTGCTCTCCAGAGAGCAACAGTTAATAGGAGTAAAATCAACCATGAACTAGAACAGAGCCTTCCCTGTCCCTACTGGTTCAGTACAGGTAGGCAATGGAGAATGTGCATTTATAGGCAGATCTGGTGCTCTAGTAGTTTGTTTTCATCTAAGAGGGCAGAAGACATACCACACATGCAGAGTACATCTGCAGTGAGCTACGAACTCTGTGATGAAGAATTGGAAGTAGAAAAGAGAGAATAAGAAGTAAAGGAAATGTCTCATGCAAAGCATAAAAATCAAATTTCTTACAGAAGTTTAACTGCTGCTAAACTGCTTTGCCCAATCCATTTTAGAAGGCAAATGTTGATAATCAGCCTACTTAATGCAACAAGTATCACAGAAGCAGCCAGATTAATCAGGACATTGGAAAACACAGAAGAGGCAAAAAGATGGTGTTTCCAAGGCTTCATTAAAGTTTTATTTCCCATGACTCTGCGAGCAGGCTGTGCTCACTGATGCTCTCCATTAGAGAAACAAGCTCTGCTATACATGGCTCAATGGAGGAGCAGAGAGAGAGGACAAGGAGGGGACAGCTGTCTGTTGTGAAGGAAGGTAGCAGAGCCAAGATTGAGGAGAATCTGGGAGAAAACACCCAATGTAACCAACCCGAAAATGGCCGTGACAGTGGGAGGCAGATCTACCAGAAGGTAACAGAGCAAATGAATGGAATCCAGCTGGGTGTCAGTTTTTGTGCAGAGAAATGCACACACCACACCATTAAGCCACAATGTCCCCAGCTTTTACAGCAACAGAAAGAAACTAGCACATGATCTCAGTTTGGGGGATTTTATATTCAAAAGGCAGAACCCGAGCACTTACAGCAAACACAAATTTGTTAGGTGTTTAAGAGCTAAGATTCACATTAGCTGGTATTTTAAGGAGCACACAGAAACAATTACTGCAAGCAGGTCATCTTAGTGTAGCATTGGAGGTAACTTTCCATCAAGTCAGAAACTGCTTCTCCATCACAGCGTACCTTTGTGCTGGTCTGCTCAGGGAAGCTGGAGAGCTAAAGTGAAAATTGCATAGCCTCAGGCCTGCAGAGGTGAAGGTTTGTAGGGATGACCTCTGCTTTGCCACCAGCTTCTTGTGATATGGGCTGTGTGGATAGATCATCTTCCCCCTGCTCTAGGCTCTCTTTTCTCCTGGACAGCTGGGAAAATGTTGCAACTGCAGCTTGGGGCCCCCAAGGTCTGGAGCATTCCCTAGTTTAATCTCTTGTTTCAGCTGAATACAAATAAAGAAATAAACCAAAATTAAACAGTAGCTTTACAGTATGCAACAGCATGCAACAAATCCTAACACCTTCCATTACCTAATATTCAATGAAGAAAGTGGATTAGAAACATGCAGAGTAAAATCTGGATCTGGATGTGATCCTTGGTCCAGCCAGACCAAGAGACAGGGAGAGCAGCTCTCACATAGCCACTGTGTTCTGGACAATCTACCTGAAGGATGCAGTGAAGAAGGGAGGATCTTCACCAATGTCCCAGGAAGGCACTTACGCTAGCATCTTTCATCACTGGTTGCTGTTTGGTTACACCATGACTATGTCATGCAAGCTTTTGGAGAAGAAAGTTGCTCACAGTCAGTCAATTTAAGGGTGGAGGTGAATCCTGCACACATTTCATTCTGGTTGATTTTTATCCACAGGCATTTTGAAGAGCACATGTTACATTGATGTCCGCTGGTTCCCTTTTGATGTGCAGAAGTGTGATTTGAAGTTTGGCTCTTGGACTCACAGTGGTTGGCTGATTGACCTGCAGATGCTTGAGGCTGATATTTCCAACTACATCTCAAATGGAGAGTGGGATTTAGTGGGTAAATTGACTTGCCTAAATTTTTTTCAATATTCTAATTTTCAAAGGCAGAGCCCAAATATGTAGAAATTACTAAATATTCAAGTCTGTATTTGAAATACAGATATGAAAAGTTTTCATGTAAAACCTTTTAAATGAAAAAAAGAAGAAAAAAATCGCAGATCAAAAACAACTTTGCGAGTGCATTCTTTGAAATGTGTCTGAAAACACTGTGTTCTGAAGCAACTGCCTAAATCTAAGTGCACAAATGAAATCTAGTGGTGCTGATGCATCTGAGCAGTTTGTCAGAACTGTACTTAGATGTGTCTTATGTAGACACACTGAATGCTACTGTCACATCTACTCAAACACATCACTCAAGAATTGATTGGTGTAAAAAATGGTATTTCAGCAAGACTGGAATTAGCTTTTACAGAGATTATCCTGTTCACTCTGAAAACCATCAAAACCTCTAACAGTTTGTAACATCTGGAAATAACTGCAGCTTAGTGTATCTCCTTTTCTGTGTTTCAGGATTGTATTTTTAAATGAGGAACTTCTGTCCAGAATTAGTTATTCATAGCTAGCTTCTAGTGAATTATTTTGAACTCATTTAAGTAGGTGTAAATCAGAAGTCAAGTTATGGAAATGGGCAGAGTTTAGACCACATTAATGGTAACTTGCAGCCTTTTTTTTTTTTTTTTTTTTCTAGTCCGGGTATTTGATCAAGGAAATAACTAACCCAGAACAGCTGAATATGCCATTCAGGGCATCTGAGAATAAAATAAGAAACATAATCAGTATTCAGGAGTGCTGGAGGACTTCATAGGAAAGTCCATCTAAAGTCAGTTCATTCCAGAGCATTTCTAACTTTCCAGTGCTTTGATACAGTGGTCATTTCTGTTCAATAAATTTGCATGTCTGGTGAAGTGACTGACTTCAGTTTTACTTGCCTTTGGACAGAACTGTTCCTTAATCAGCTCATTTGGTGAAAGTGTTCGGTAATACCCTGGTCAAACCTTTATGGAGACTTGTTTTTCTCCTGTCAACATTTACATATCACTGTACCTTCTGTACCTTGTGTACAGTAACACAGAACAAGAGTGGTGGCATGAAACATGCGAGGTGCTAAGCTCTTCCATCTGGCCATGACGTGTCCTGCCGCAGTCCCTGCCATACAGCCTCTTGGGCACTCTACTGCAACTACGTCACCATTGCCAACCCTACAGAACAGCCATGTTGTATAACAATCTATCCAAACCCTCAGACATGACAGAATATAAGCTTGATTTAGCAGCTTTCAAAAACTATCTGATGCGTGGGCTAGTGTGCATGACATCAAAAGCTAGCAATCATTCCCTAGCTTGCAGGAAGCCAGAAGTCATGTTTAGCTGTGCTAGCTTCTGGCCTCTGTTTACAGATCTTCCTGTTTTGAGGCTGGGTTGCTGAGACTGGTTTTGAACTGGATCAGATGAGCTTCTTTGACTGATCCAGGTTCTAATGATCCAGAAAGTATGAATGCAAGTACTAGAAAACACAGAAGTTGGATTAGTAACAGCAGGCAACTTGCACCATCAATTCAGATGTTCCTGAAGACACTGAGATCTTTAAAGTCAGCCTTGGCTGATTTAATCCTGTAATGATGTATTTCAGCTTTCAAACAACACTGAGCTGAGACATGTTGTCCCTGGTCTCATTAAATCTATCCAGCCATACGTGCATTAGTGGCTACAAGTGTTAGAAAATGACTTTTGCCTTGTAGCTGATTTAGGTATTTCTTTTCTCCCTTCTCACTTGCCACAGGACACTTCAATGCATCTTCTATTCCATGCCTAGATGCATGGAACAGTAAGAGACCACATGGAGAGGTGGGGAAATACTTTCTCCTTGCTGACAGCTTTAAGAACCAGACAAGTTCCCTGCTGCTGTCTGAGGCTTGGATGTCTGCAGGTAGATCCAGCTGGCCTTTACCACACACTAGCTCCTGTTTCTAGCCAGCACAGGAGCTTTCTTGTTTCCTTTTCCTCATCCCATCACTTGCCTAAAGCCTGACGGAGAAAATAGAATCAACAGGTGGTAGCAGGGGTTGGATCTGCTTATGGCAGAGCGAGAGACTGGAGGATCTCTGGAGGTCCTTTCAATGCCAGTGAGAGGCTATCTGGGCAGTGGATGATGGGCAGTCCTGTGCTGCTGCCCACTACTCTGATCTCCCTTTCTGCAGGTGTTCCAGGAAAGAGAAATGAGTTGTACTATGAATGCTGTAAAGAACCATATCCAGATGTGACATACACCATCACCATGCGCCGACGCACTCTCTACTATGGCTTGAACCTACTGATTCCCTGTGTTCTCATATCTGGCTTGGCACTGCTTGTTTTCCTTTTGCCTGCTGATTCAGGAGAGAAGATTTCTTTAGGTAAGTGCTAAAGAATTCATTTATTTCTTGTGTACTTCCCATAAAATGACAAATAATAGCTTATGGTTTTTGATGAATGAAGATTTCCCTGGAGGAGCAACAGAAGCACTAGTTTAGTTGCAGAAACAGGAGTAAAAGTTTATGTATAGGATTCACACATACAGTTCTAAATATTTTGGATTCTACTCTCAGATGAAGTAGAACTTGTCACTGGCAGAAGAAGCAATGGTAGTTCTCCATCCCCTCTGTCATTCTGTTCCTAAGCAGAATGAGGGATATGACTTCTGACTGTGAAAAACAGGATGCAGACAAGGAGGAGAATTATTTGAGTTAAAGCACAAAAAGAGAGTGTAATATTCAGGCACTGAATGTGTGAAATAGATGGCAAGTTCTCAGCACAGGGCAGCTAGATTTCGCAAACAGCCTTTCCAGAGAGAACAAAATAACACAGTTACTTTTGTAACAGGCTTCAGCTCTATGGAGAATGTTATATAACATGTAATAGTTGAAACTAGTCTCTCCTCATCTTGAACAGTTGTCTGGGTTTTGTGTAAGCTCTGTTTGGCAAGAGCAGTATATTTTATCCATTCTGCAAGTTCCATTTCACTGAGCAGCAAAGAATCTCCTTTACTTTGAGAGAAGCAAAGGTTTGGGTGCAATTGAGAATGGGAAAGAGAGCAGATAAAGATATATCCAAAGATGCTCTCACTTGGTAGAAATTCTCACCTGCCCTGACAAGCATGAATTCATGGATTTGTCTTCGCTTTACAGTTACATTTAACAGCAAAGACATCAGAGGAGGAAATGCAGCAATCGTGTTCCTCATCTCTCCTCTCCATGTTCACTCCCTGCAGGTATCACTGTTCTGCTTTCCCTGACTGTATTCATGCTGCTTGTGGCTGAGATCATGCCTGCAACTTCTGATTCAGTCCCACTAATAGGTAGGTTGATTTTCTCTGCTCTGTGCAAAAAGTACAGTGTTTCTCAAGAGCTGTTCAAAGCCTGTTGGAGCTTTGACTCTTTTTCTTACTACACTTCTGCATTTCATCAGTGTTAGGAATAAACCTCTGTTTGGGCTTTACTGTTTGTGTGGATGCAACAAAACAAAACAAAACAAAACAAAAAATACCCAACCTGGCATAAGGTGGCTCTGGAAATATCAGATAGACTGGTAATTGTAATAATTTAAGGGACTCCAGAACAATGTAGCTTGGACGTTTGGATAGGCAAATCACAAAGGACATCATAACCAGTGCATGAGAACAGATGAGATACTGGAATAATACTCAGCCTTGGCTGTGAGTTCTTTGTGTCTGGGTTCATTGAGTTAATTTGAAGCTCTCTGGATGACACTATGCCCACAGAAAGCTTTTGGAGGTGTCTTTGCAGCTGGCTGAAGAGAAGTTTTTCCTCTTCCACATAATCTGCTCCCCCACTCTGTTGTGCACTGCTGGGGATTTTATATTGTACTACTTGAGACAAATTAAAGACATGTTTTTGCTTAAATATAGAAAGTTTTAATGAACAACTCTCCAACAGCATTGGAGTCCTGCTGCCATCACTGAATCCACAGGGAGTCAGAAAAGATATGTCTTTAGCCTTTAAACAACACTAAAGCTTCAATTTCTGCTTGAGGTCATCCTGACCAAGCTATACAAAGAACTTGCATTGGTGCAATTGCACACTGTTCTTTTGAAATGACCAGTGTGTTAAAACACTATGCTGTCACAGTGCTGTTTGTCCCAACTAAGTGATGAACATGAGTGGTGAGGCTTGCACAAATCCCTCAAGAAATTCCCATCACTGTCTGAACAGCAAGATTCAACCTACAATTATAGAAGTTACTACAGTGATGAAACTTATGGTGCTTATACTTTGGGGAAATGCTTTTAGGAATGCACAACCTATACTGTGAACAGAATAGTTGTTATGAGTGGCTTAAAATCTCTGAAGCCAGAAATAGCCTTGTAAAACTCAAACAAGGAATCTTCCACTCAATTCTCTTTTTGTTAAATAACTGTGAAGACTATATAAGAAAGAAGAGTTAAGAAGCTATGAAGGATTAAGTGATTTTCACAAGATTGTGCAAGAATGCCAGACAGATTGAATCATTTTTTTCATTAATTTCTTCTTTCTGAAGTGTCAAATAACAAGGAAAGTGAGGGATTCACTGTTGTTCTATAAGGTGAATTGATATGAAAGTAGAGATTGCTTGTTTGCTGTGGGACTGTCCTGTCAAAAAGCTGGCACAGAGAGACACTGACTGGATATTATGACATTTAACCTAAGAAGTGAGAATGTTGGTCTCAACAGTGATTTATTTCTGAGGTTGAATGTGACAACAGCAACAGGAAGGGAAAGTCACCTCTGTGTCCTGTACATTTTTTCAGCAGCTGCTTGGTCACTAGCAGCGTCACAGGAGTAGTAAGAGCTCTGACTATGATCCAATGGGCTTTGTATCCAAGGGCTCCAGCCTCTGCTAGGTGAACTCCCTGAAACTGCCTTCTGAGAAGCAGAGGCAGAAGGGAAGGCACTGAGGCTGTTCAGCCTGCCAGCAGATTCAGGTGCTTACATTTCTGTTGGCTTGAGGATGAAGAAACCCAGCAGAGCTGTGAAAGCTCAGTTGGCTGGGAGAGGCAGAAGGCTGGGTAGCAGTTTGTGACCAGTAAAGGCAAAGGTCTGTATGTTGCCTTTCTGTTGCATGCACATGCATTCATGGGAAGGGCCTCAGTTAATACTGGCATCTGCTAAAGGAGAAGTTGTCTCTTCCTCTGGGACAAGGAAGGCTTTAAAAGGGAGAAAAGGAGGCTGGGATTCAGCTTTTCTGCAAGACCCAGGTAACAAGACATGCCACGTGGCCATTTGAGTAATTTCTATCACGAGATCAGTTTAGTGGGCCATACAGTCATCTTTATTTTTGTTTTCATAGGATAATCCCTCTGTCTTGAGTGCATGAAGCCTTGATTTCCCCAGTGGAAACTGGGTAAAACATCATTTCCTGATCTCGGCAGGGTAGGGAAAACAAACCTTTTCTGGTTTGTAAAATAAAGAAGTGTGAACAGCACATAAAAACTCAGAAACTGTTAAAACATCATTTTTTAAGCTACTATTCATGCAAATCATGATTAAAGTACACATTCTAAGCAACTGAAATAAATAGAATATCCAACAATATACCAATATATGACAGAAGATGCACTTCTGAGGTTGGTGGCCCTGCCTGTGGCAGGGGGATTGAAACTTAATGATCCCTTGGGTCCCTTCCAACCCATTATATGATTGTAAAATTAAAGCCTTGCACAAATTGTATCATAAAAAGAGCAAAAGACCATTTACTCAGACATCTTAATATTTAATTTCATGGAGAAAAAAATACAGACCTACATATGGGAAGGAAGGTGACAATGAAACAGTGAGGGTAATACTACCCACAGGCAAGAGTTTCTAAAAGCTTCCAAATAACTTGGGCATCTTATTGAGTGAGATTCTAGCCACTGAATCACACAGGAGCTTCCAAAAAATCTAACAAAACCCTTGCCTGTATATATACCTAGGACTCCACAAAGGTGAGTAGAAGACATTGAGAGATAGTGAAGGGATGCACCTGTATATGTTCAATGCAGTACCTTTAACTACATCAGTTTCTACTGTTACAATTCCCTACCAGAGAAAATAAGATATGTAAGAAGAAAAAAAAAAAAAAAGCTATAGATATATATATACTCTATACTATAGATATATATACTAGTACTTAATCAAGTATCACATAATGATAGGGGGTGAGGGATCGTGGTAATGGTGGTAGGGATACTCATTTGGTCAAGTCCCTTGCTCTGTGTGAATGTTATCTCAATTATTAGGATCACTCACACCTTCTTATTCCTTTTGGAGCACAAAGTCTAGGAGATAATAAAGAGGTCTATTTTCACAACTAGTATACTAAATAAGCATTGTTGGCAGCACGTATTACTATAAGTTTTTTAAAAATACCAAAATAATTAGAGCATATCAAATGTATTGGAAATGCACCTCCTAAAGTTGTCATATAGGTCAAACACAGTCTGTTTCTTTCATCTGTTCACTGGACAAATTTTGTATTGTGAAAACATAGTAAAAGAATAATCCTAGTACATAAATGTTTTGTAAGATCTTGGAGAGTGACTTCAGGTAGCCAGATAATGGACTCTGAAACAATCTCATATCTACAGTTATCTGACGCTTCCCTGTTACGGCCCAAAAGAAAACTGACCTTGACATGCTGGAGTACACTCAAGCATGATGCTCTCAAAGACTGCCACCCCTGTGCAATAGAAGCTTCTTACTTCACAGAACAATTCAGATTGGAAAGGACTTTGTGATGTTGCTAGTCCAGGCCTTGCTTGGAGCACATTCAAGTCTAGGGTTAGATGAGGTTGCTCAGGCTTTTCTAGTTGTATCTGGGAGCCTTCAAGGACGGAGATGACACTGTAGCCTTCCTGGGCAACCTTTTCCACTGTGCAGCTTCACTCAGGAGAGAGAAGTCTGAGCACATTGTTTCTCACCACCTTGCTAGACACTGCTGTGAAGCACCTGTCCCTGCCACCCCTTTCCTGAAGGCAACGTTATGTTGTCAGGTACCTCAAAGCTCCAGCATGCAAGCCCTCCTCAGAAGGCCTCACTGAGCCCAGTGGTTCGCTGACTTAATTCAGTTTTTTGCTGTTTGTGTAATGGTAGAAAGTCTTCCCATGCTCTTGACTCCCTTGTCAGTCTCAGCTGCTTATCTGTAGCTTTCCTAACACCAGCTGTGAATGCCCAAATAATGATCACAGATCTTGCTTTTGCAGCCTGTCCCTGCTCCCTGCCCTGCAAGGTATGTTGACCTTTTGCACTGGTGCACTATCATGAGTTCCATGCTGGTCTTCTGACGCATTTCCTTATTTCTCTGAGTATTGGTAGGACCCTTTATTGCACTTGAAGTCTGCTCTCCTGTAAGCCCTTGCTGTTTTCTTGTACTGTTTTATCCTTCTGAGCTTTCTCTGACATGATCTGTTCCCCTTTGTGCACTTGTGCATCTGCTATGGAGGTGACACTTTCCAGGTTGTTTCACCATTCTTGAGATCTTTCGTATTCTGGCCACTCTGCACCATTTTCCTTCTATGACTTCTCAAATGAAGTGTGGATTCCTGTTTCCATAGTATCCCAGGTTTGAAGCCCTGCTTTTAACTCTTAGCTCTACTTGAAACAAACAGGGAAAGACTGTTCACCCTTCTGGCTTCTGTACCCAAATACCCTTTATTCCACAAGTACTGAACTGAGCTGAGTTACGTTGCATGGTCCTGAGATCTGAAAATCCTATTCCCACTCCCAACAATACATAACCTGTGGTATACAGACATACATACAGTATACAGAAATACATAACCTGTGGTATACATACAAACACAGTGGTTTTGCAGTAGATAATAATTGGGACATTTAGTTGCTAAGTTGTATTTACCACATAATGATCATGTTTTTTCACTGCTGTCTTTGGTTTGGCTAAAAGCCCTCTTGAGATGAATGCAAGGATAAGGCAGATGCTTGGATAGTTTGGTCAGTTCCTGGAGAATCAGCATAGTTAGTATCAAGTTGCAGAAACAGAACTCAGAGAATGCTTGAAAAGGATGCAAGTAATTTGATCTTGAAGAATAAAAATCCACTGCTAGTCTACAGAAAAGTTATTGTTGCTGGTCTGCATGCATGTAGGAGGAGACACTCTGAAAAGACAACCTCACCCTTGGAAAAAAATCTGCATTGTATTCTTAAATTTTGTTTTTGTAAAAACCTTGCTTCTTCTGCTACATGGACATGGCTGAATGCTTCTGACTTTCACTAGTGTAAAAACACTTGACTGAAAAATGCTATAAAACTTATTTTTCTCCATTGTTTGACCTCAGTTTTAACTAGCTAACTAATAATAGGT